CAAATAAGTAGACTGAATTAATAACGCTGTAGATGGCGAGTAGTAATTGCTCACGCTGATGGTTAACTCCGTTGTTGATTGTGCTGGATTCTCGGATGAAAAAAGAAGAAGGCAAATTAAGTGCGCTCATCGCATTTTATACGAAGCGAAACTAAACACTGGAAGTTCGAAAACGATGTTCACGCAGGGCTGCATGTGGGGTTCAATGTAGCACAGCGTTGCGTTTTAAGCGGACGTAAGTCGCTTAAACACCACCTATACGTCCTTGTCATCCAAAAAATTTTTATTTTAAATTATACAGAATCTACACTTTGATTTCGTGCCCATACTCTTGTTCTTTACTAAACTGTTTTTTTTTAATATTTTTTTTAATAATCGTAGTTTTGAAATTTCAAAGCCCTTAAAAAATCTTGATGTCACACAGTGATTCGGCTCCAAGAAGATTGATGGAAAAAGGTTATGGTTATGGTCTAAGAATTTCACAAAATTAATAAAAAGTTTAAAATTCCCTATAATTTATTTTAACGTACTTCCACTGCGATTTGTTTCAAATTCATATGTAACTAGAAGACCTGGCGAACTTTGTCCCGCCCAAAATTATTATTATTTTTTTTTAAATTAAAATATTTTGGTCCAACAATTCACGTTCACGATTTATCTGTTAATATTATTGTTTGGTGGTCGTCGGAAGACATATTTCCAAGGCCGTGTTAAATAACCTAATGAAAGTGTTATGTCCGCGAAGATTTTCTTTGTATTTCTCCAATGAAATAAATTTCATCCTCTTCACTACCTGGCGGCAACAATGATTTGCTTCCATGATGAGCCGGTCCTTGAAACTGTATAGCGTAGCTGGTGGCAATTTCAAGGTGGGGGAGTATCGCTGGTCTATAGAAATCCAATATACATATATACATACACTTATTTTCGACGAAATATCTTAAATGTCTTATCAATAGTTCTGCTGGTTGATTTAGCGGAGGTCTTTTGGGCTTGACCCCTGGACAACTCAATCCAGGTGTCTCCGAATAAAGCTTGAACGCATTGCTATATTGGTAAATTATATCCTTTGGGCCAGTCGGAACCAAGGACCGAACATAACAGTTATTGATGAAAACTGTCATGGAAAAATTCACTATGAAGGAAATGTTCTACAACTAAGTGAAACATACCAATCGATTTCGCTTTGCACCGAGACTCAAATTTGAAAATAAATTTTTATATGCAATTTTTATGCGAAATTTTAAAAAATAACAATTATATTTGATTTTTATATTATAAATCCAAAATAACAATTATTTTTGATTTTTATATTAAATGGCTTAGATAACCGTTATTGAAGAGTTTTATTTATAAAAGTTCAATAAAAATCAGTCAGTGACTTTTACTTTTAAAAGTGATTAATATAAATCAGTGACCGACTTTTATTTTTTAAATCAATCATATAAAAGTCATTAACCTTTTTCGCAGTTAAGAAGGTGTTGGAAAACAAAAGTTTACTACGACTTATTCAAATGACTTTTATAAGTTTGATTGAAATATAAAGATCAGTGACTGATTTTTATTTATGACTTTTATAAATAAAAGTCTTCGATAACTGTTATTTAAGACATATAATTTAAAAATCAAAAATAACTGTTATTTGCAGATTATGTAAATAAAAATGAAAAATAATTGTTATTTTCGATTTATACAATAAAAGTCAGAAATAACGGTTATTTAAAGAGTAATTACATAAAAGTCAAAAAATAATTGTTAAAGAGTGATTTTTTAATAAAAGTTGTAACTGTACGGTCCCTGGTCGGAACACAAGGGAGTTCGACATACTCAGTGGTGTAGCAGGTCGACGTAATCGGACATAAAGACACTTTTCCAAACTTTACGTTTTTTTAGTAATAACCAGACTTCAATGTTACCTGGCGCCTTTTTTTGCAAAACTATTGCAAATCGCATCATAAATACAAATTTTTAGTAATAACTCGACTCCTGAGCAACTGGCGGACAAATTTTTTTACAGAAATATTTCCACCAATTCATAGGCCAAATGCCCAGGGCGGAAGAAACCCCCATGAGCATGGAGGTAGAATCCGTCACGTCAGAAGCCGAAAGTGCTGGGATGCTCTCTCAACCGAGGGATCCGTCATCAGCAGCGGACGGTTCTATGACAGGGCGGAGGAAGATAAGCTTCTAGCTTCGGTCAACGACGACGTCAAACTGGTGTGGCTGGAGAATCTCCAACACTCCAAGGCGGCGTCCGCAAATTTCTTCATTCACCTTGGGCAAGGTGTAGCCGACGTAGTCCTGATCCAGGAGCCGGTATCTCCGGGATTAGGACGCCTAAATTTAAGCTAATGGTGCAGAAACAAGCAGTTAGACCAAGACCCTGCATGCTCATCAGAAACAAATTCAAAGCACTCATTTTACCTAATTTCAGCAATGAAGATATTGGGACGGTTAGCTTGGAGGGTGGCGCCAGAGAGCTCTGGCTCGTATCTGCATACATGACGCCTGAGTACGAGGTGGAACCACCACCACTATTGCTGCGTGAGACCATAGCCGAAGCGAGGCGACAAAAACGGATCGGATGCAAACTCGTGGCACTCGTGCGGAGGAGCCTCAGACATCAACGACATGTGACATCAGCGAGTGCGTTCTTATGCAGACGATCAACGGGCTAGGTTGGTCAAAGTCGTTGTTGCTTTCACTGCAAATGGAAAAAAATTGAGAGTGAGGGAGAGAACTGAAGCGCATTAAAAGTCGGCAGACACCGAAGTACTGATCAAAAAAGGGTTAACTTGTGTATGTAACTCACAACTTGTTCCTGTTAGTAGTGAAATGGAGTATTTTTCGTACTATTTCCTCCTTAGTAGCAGAATGGTACATTTTTTCTGCAGATGTGTACAAATTAGTGGAATAAACTTATTGCTAGCAGCCATGTTTTGTTTACTCTTGACAGGAAAAAACACACATATCCCCTTTTTAAATTTTTTTCTTCATTTCATATCAACAATATAAAACGTAGTAAAAAATAGAGCAAAGAAATACAACCGAGTCAAAGAAATACTCTAGCCCTTTGTGCATAACAGCCTGTTGGTCAAAGAGAGTAAAAACTGAAAAAATTATAGAAGAAGTGCCGCGATCGGGGATCATTTTACCACTTTTTACAATTGAGTTATTTTAATACTTTTTACAATTGAGTTCTGAAATGACAAAAGAATAAAAAAGGGTATGTGTATGTCTACAAAATATGTCAAACAAAATAAAGGTTGCTAGCAATAACTTTATTCTACATATGTATGTACTACTTTGCACACAACTGCAGCAAAAACGAACCATTCTGCTACTAAAGGGAAATATAGTATGTAACATACTCCATTTCGCTAATGAAAGGAACAACTAGTAGAAATTTTATTCACAGGCCAACTCTTTTTTGGTCAATGTTTCGGTCTCAGCGGGGTTTTCAATTTACAACCAATTGGTCACGTGGTTCAGTTCTCTCGTTCACTCTCAATTTGCAGCGTTAACGCGAAGTTTGTTGGAGGGAGAGCGACGAGTAAAAAGGCAGGGCACCGAGTTGCTGGGGCTCGGCCAACACGCTTCATTGTCTCGTTCGTCTGGGTATTTCAAGTTTGCCGTTCACAGTTGACAACAACAATTGTATGGAAAAGAGTTACTGTGTGCGAATGCGGATGGGCACCACCAATAGAGAAATAGACGATAATAAGCAACTCGAGTTGCCGTTACTGAACGCAGACCTGCGAAAGCTGGCGAAACGATGAAGAGAGGATTAGCGGTCAGCGAAAGGCGCCCCTTTGTTTCGCTGCGTACAATTTGCGTTCTATATTTCTATTTTATTTTTCCAGCTCCAGTTACATTCTCGAGACGCCAATAATAGCGTCGAGCTATAATTTGAAATCAATTCATGCCATCCCCGTTGGAAACTTTTCTGCGAAAGGTCGTGTAGTATTGATTTTTTGCTGCAAAAGGATTTTTAAACATTTATATGGACAAGTAATAAAGTGTTTAGTTTTTGGTGCCAAAAGACGTTTATCGGGTGCAGAGTAGTTTTTTAATACAAGGCGTCGAAGTGCATAGAGGAAGTTTTTTATGGTTTATTCCATTTATGATGTAAGTATTTATTTTTTCAATAAAATCCTCAAGTTTACTTAAATGCATATTTGAAGTAATTCACCATTTGTGTTTAAATCCTTTAGATTTAAATTGCGATTTTTTGTGAGTGATGCATTTCTAAAAATTTTTATAAAACTTAAACAAATATAGCAGTTTTTTAAATGTTGGAATTTATTAATATAATGTATATACGTTCCTGATGCTGGCGTCAAATATTGACAAGCATGAGAGATTGTGTTTTCTTGGATAGTTTATTAACGGATTAAGTGATGTCGTTTTCATAGACTTCGCAGAAAATTCTTGAGCTGATCCTATTATTATATTGTATAATATAATTTCTATATCCAATAATGGAACAATCAATCTGTTTCGGAATAAGTGCATATGCCCAATACAACTCCGTAATTTATTCAAATCCCTAGGTCTTA